GCAAACACCTCCGAGAAATTTCAACATATCCCGCCTCGAAAACACATGCCCACGCCTTGCTGCGCCGATGCGAGATCGCCAGTGGAACCCCAGCGAAGGGTAAAGCACAAGGAAATATCGAACGACGGTATTGCCTTGGTGGGGATGGGGGCTGTCGGCGGTGAGGCAAGGACATGGCCATGAATAGAGAGGGAGGAAGTCTCGAGCAGGGCTGCTGTTGTTGCTGGGAGCAGCGCCAATGCTGAAAAGAGTAGGGTGCTAGTCGAGCGTAAAACAAAACGAAGTCTCGAGCGGGAGCGCTGGTTTTGTTGAGACGGCGGCTTTCGGCGCGAGGAGGAACACCGTTTTGCGTAAGAAAGGAGGAAGCATCGAGCGGGAGCCGTGGTTTTGTCGGGACGGGGGCTGTCGGCGGCGAGGCACAGCACCGTCCCGAGGAAAAAGAGAGGAAGTCTCGAGCGGGAGCGTTGTTCTTGCTGGGAGCGGCGCCAATTCCAAAGAGAGTAGGGCGCCAATCCAGCGTAAAAGGGAAGGAAGTCTCGGGCGGGAACGCTGGTTTTGTCGGGGCGGCGGTTTTCGGCAGCGAGGAGGAACATCGCCTTGAGTAAGAAGGGAGGACGCATCGAGTGGGAGCCGTGGTTTTGTCGGGACGGTGGTTGCGGGCGGCGAGGAACAACACCGTCTTCAGGAAAAAGGGAGGACGCCTCGAGCAGGAGCGTTGTTCGTGCTGGGGGCGGCGCCAATTCAAAAGAGAGTTGGGCGCCTGTCCAGCGCAAAACGGAAGGAAGTCTCGGGCGGGAGCGCTGGTTTTGTCGGGGCAGCGGTTTTCGGCGACGAGGAGGAGCACCGCCTTGAGTTAAAAAGCGAGGAAGCATTGAGCGGCAGCGTTGTTTTTGTTGGGGGCGGCGCCGATGAGAGAAAGACTAGCGCGCCAGTCCAAGGTAAACCAGGCGGAAGTCTCGACCGGGAACGCTGGTGTTGTTAGGACGGCGGCTTTCGGCGGCGAGCAAGAACACCAGCCCTGAGAAAGAAAGGAGGAAGTCTCGAGCGGGAGCGTTGTTGCTGTTGGGGGGCCGGCTTTGGCGGCCCCCCAAACCGCTTGAGTGCGAGCCTCATTTTCAATGAAAATTTAGCCGGCGCTTCGGCGACCAACCGTAATAATTGCTTAGTAATTAACATTCTACAACAACAACAACCACAACAACAGCAACACTCATGTTAAGACTGCTCGCCCTGATCTGCGCGAGTGTCCAATAACGCGTATTTCCCAAACCCTCGATACGCGCCCTCTTCGTCTTCGATCGAAACCATTTTGGGGGATATATTTGTATTTCCTGCAGGCCGGGCCCCTGCAAGCGGCAGGGCGGCCGCGGACCGTCGGCCTGGCCAGCGGCAGCGCTGATCGGCGGGGCGGCCGCGGACCGTCGACCCGACCCCAAGAGGTACGGACAGGGGATCGACCACGACGACGACGACGACGACGACGACGACGACGTCGACGACGACGACGACGACGACGACGACGACGACGGCGACGACGGCGACGACGGCGGCGGCGACGACGAGCGAAAGCGAGAGCGAGAGAGAACGACAGCAGGGCCACAAGGACACGGAGTAGGCCACGACGGGCGACAGCGGGGACACGAAGGGAATGCGTATGGGGCCACGAAGAGCGCGAACGAGCGGGGGCCACGAAGGGCGCATAATGCGGGGCCACAGAAGGCAACGATGGGGCCACTGAGGGTAGCAACTGGGCCACGTAGGACAGTGAGGGGGCCACAAACAGCGACAGCGGGGCCACGAAGGGCATGCACATGCGGCCACAACGGGCGCGAACGAGCGGGCGTCACGAAGGGCCTACGTATACTGGGCCGGTGAGGGCAAGGACGGGGCCACTGAGGGCAGCAACGGGGCCACGAAGGGCAGCGAGGGGGCCACGAAGGGCGACAGCGGGGCCACGAAGGGCATTCATATGGGGCCACCACGGGCGCGAACGAGCGGGGGCCACGAAGGGCATGCAGATATGGGGCCACGAAGGGCAGCGAGGGGGCCACGAGGGGAGGCAACGGGGCCACGAAGGGCAGCGAGGGGGCCACGAAGGGCTGCAACGCGGCCAAGAAAGGCTGCAACGGGGCCGAGAAGGGTAGCGAGCTGGCCACGAAGGGTTGCAACGGGGCCACGAAACAAAGCGAGGGGGCGAGGAAGGGTTGCAACGGGGCCACGAAGGGCAGCGGGATCCCGATTCCTATGTAATCTGTGATGGAGTCCTAAGCGTGAGCGCGACTCCTGGGTGCCTGGGTGTCGGGAGCGCGGCATTTGAGTAAATTTCAAGAAATTCCAACGCAAGGGCGCTATTCTTCAGTACGTTGCAAGCAAGTCTCCAGCGAGAGCGCGGCTCCAGAGCGCCGGGAGAGCGATTCTTGAATAAATTGTAAGGAATCCCAAGCGAGAGCGCGAATCCTGAATAACATGCGAGGAAGTCTCGGGCGGGAGCGGGGATCCTAGGTAAATTGTGAGGAAATCTTAGGCGGGAGCCGTTGTTGTTGTAACCCGGGGGGCAGGGGCCCAGTTTGAGCCTCAAGACTTGCCCTGAAAAAACCCGGGTGCGAGCGTCGAGGGCCACTGTTTAATTTAGAAAAAGCAGTCTGCACTGGTGGGGGGGATCAACACTAATCATTTTTCAGAAATGAGACTTCAACAACAGCAGTAACAACAACAACAACAACAACAACAACAACAACAACAACTACTACTACTACTACTACTACTACTACTACTACTACTACTACTACTACAGCAGCAACAGCAGCAGCAGCAACAATAACAGCGTCAGCAACAACAACAACCCGCAGCGCGGAACCCCACTTCAGCCACGCGCCCAGGGACAGTGAATGACCGCTCGGCGTCCTCATTATGTTATATTTGATGGCCTTCGCTCCATCCCGCCACTGTGCCTGGATTGTGGGTCAGAGTCCTCATGGATACTTCGTGGGGTCTCCTCTTGGGGGTAGTTTGGGGCCTCTTGGGAGCCAGCCTCCTGGGGGCTTCTTGGGGCTTCCTGGGGGGCTCTTTGGAGGCCTCTGGGGGGGCCTCTGGGGGGGGGGGGGGGGGCATCTTGGGGCCTCCTGGGGGCATCTCGGGGCCGAGGGCTCGAAATGTCCCGCGTGGGCCGCCTTGGGGGCCTCTTGGGCCGTCTTCAGGCCCTCTGGGGCGGTCTCGGGGCCCTCTCGGAGGCCCCTCGGGCCGTCTTGGGGCGACCTTGGGGGCCTCTTAAGCTGTCTTGGAGCGTCGGGAAGCCGAACAGGTGGTAACGCCGAACATCTCCCAAAAACCAGAAAGGACAATCGATTTATTGTTGTCTCTTAAGACCCTCCTGGGAAGCCTCTTGGAGGCCTTTGGGGGCGTTCTGGGGGCATCTTGGGCCGTCTTGAAAACCATTGTGGGCGTCTTGGTCCGATCTTGCGGCGACTCCGGGACCCCTTGGACCGTCTTGGGGGCTTTTTGGGGCCCTTTGAGCCGGTCCGGGGGGGTCCCCTGGGACCGAAAAAGTAGCGCGATGAGCCGCGACGCACCCCAGGGACCATGCGGGAAGCCCCAAGAGATCTGAGTTGTTCGGGCCTGGGTCCCTCAAAGAACCCTCAGGACTGAGGACCGAGGCTCCAGGGTGAAGCAAGGGACCTGGGGATACTCCACTTCGCGCCACAGGGGCACCGAGGCGGATACATACATACATCCATACATACATACAGACAGACAGACAGACAGACATGCATGCATGCATGCATGCATGCATACACATACATACATGCATACATACATACATACATACATACATACATGCATGCATGCATGCATGCATACATACATACATACATACATAGACACATACACATACACATACATACATGCATACATACGTACACACATACATACATACATACATACATACATGCATGCATACATACATACATACATACATGCATACATACATACATACATACATACATACCTATATACATGCATACATACATATATACATACACACATGCATATATACATACACACATATAAGCATGCATGCATGCATTCATACATACATACATACGTACAGACATAGATACATACATACATAGCATGCACACACATCAGTGCTTATGCCTATGCCCTATACCCTATACCCGATACCTATACTTACACACATGCCCATACCTTTATCTATTCTTGTGCCTGTATCGATACGAATACGTTTACCTGTACCCATACCAATACCTGTACGTACCTCTGTTCCTATACCTATACCTAAACGTAGACTTAGACCTACGTAACACACATATTCTTGCGCAGATACACAGCATCGAAAGTCCCTTTTCTACAGAGTCGGGACCGTTGGGGCGCGCTGCGCGCGGCCCGCTGCAGGGCGGGCTTCCGCCCTGCTGCCGCCCAGGGGCTGCCGCTCTCCGCGAAGGGGTCCCCGAGGCCCCCGCAGGCCGCAGGCGTCGCCGCGGGGGGCGACTGGCGCGCCCGCGGAGGGAGGCGCCCTCCCAGGGACCCCGCACTGAAACAATCCAGACATCGCAGGTGTGGGGAGCCAGCCCCGCGCGGAACCCTCCAGCCAGCCCCATGCAGCCCCCCCCCTGCCCCTCGCGGGAGCGCCCGCACCCTCGGCCCCGCCGGGCTCGTGCAGGGCAGCCCGCTGCACCCCTCGGGCCGCTGCTCAGCAGCTGGTCCTGGCGCCTCGCCGATCGATCGATCGAGGGTCGATGTTTGCCCGTAGGTCTTGGCGTTGCTCGGACGTGTGCGTTATTTGGTCGGCGAGGACCATCGAAGAGCATCTTTGATCATCCAGCGAGACATACGAGCACGAAATCGAAAAAAGGGCACGGGGAACGAAGGCCCGAGCAGTGGCGAGACGCTGGAGGTCTGGGGCCCGCGGGCAGCGCAGAGCGCGCGGGCGTCGCCGCCTCTGCGCCGGGACCGCCGCTCTCCCCGTCTGGGCCGCCGAGGGCTCGGCCTGGTCTTCGCGGCGGCGGCGGCGTGGCTCTCCGCGTGAGCCGCGCCCCGCGCGGCAGGCGCCGCGCTGCGCGGACATGCCCAGACGTCCGGCGCCTCGGAAACATCAGGGCGCGCCTCCTCTTCCTTCTCCTCTTCCTTCTCCTCCTCCTCCTCCTCCTCCTCCTCCTCCTCCTCCTCCTCCTCCTCCTCCTCCTCCTCCTCCCCCTCCCCCTCCCCCTCCCCCTCCTGCTTCTCATCCTCCTCCTCGTCCTCCTCCCCTCCTCCTCCTCCCTTCCCCTCCCCCCCCCTCCCCCTCCCCCTCCCACCAGCGCCTGGCCAATGTACCGCCAATCTACCGTTGGAAGCAAAGACGTGGGCTCGCTCGCACGGTCATACTCACTCTATGGGAGATTGGGTGGAATGCTACATCGCCTACAGAGTGGACCGACAGCAACGGTAACATAAGGCGCATGACTGGCGACGATTACCTGGGTGACCCCGCCGATGTTATACATGCGATAATACAATCGCACCAGCTACAGCACTGGGCCAGAGCGTCAACACACTGGCTTGGAAAAGGCGCTGAGCTGGGCATCGACACCTACGACCTCAAGAAGAAGCTGGACAGGATGAAGTGGCAGGGAAGATACAACGAGGCTGGCACGCTACAGGCAATCACGTGTGCAGCTATGTGGACGCTAGACCGTAAGCACCAGACGTTCGGCAGCACAGACAACCACTGCGGCTGCGGCAGCATCGACGACGACCTACACAGAGTATGGTCTCCTGCAGCCTGCGGCAGGATCACGATGACTACGACCGCACTGCAGCGCTGCAACAGAGAGCTACCACTGGTAGCGAGCGCGTACCATGCCTTGGGTTGAGAGGGCTGGTCCCACGTGAACGGACAGTCCCGCCCGACTGCCACACCGAGGACAGGCCCATCAACATAGGCAAGCCCTTCGAAGTCAACGGCCCCTACACAATGATCAGCACTGACGGCAGGGGCGGTGAGCACTCCCAGGATCCACGCTACAGACGATGCGGTTGGGCCTGGGCCGCTCTCACCGAGTCGCACGACGGATGGCACATGGATGCAGCACAATACGGACCTCTACCCTGACGGCGTCAGACCAACAACCGCGCAGAGTTGTGGGCAGTCGTCCAAGCACTACGACATACCACTGGACGAGTGCGAATATGGACGGACTCGGATGTGGCCACCAGAGGCTGGCAGCGATCGCACCACGCCAGGCTCGGGCAGCGGCGCGCCAATCGCGACATCTGGGACCTCATGCACCGAGCGCTGCGTGAGCGCAGCCCAGAGCTCGACGACCCAGCCTCGGTCGTCGAGCTCCACCACGTGCCCAAGCACACGGACGAGGAGGAGATGAGGGCCCTCCACTTGGACGAGGAAGCCTGGTTCGGCAACGCCGTGGCCGACGCCCTCGCTGAGCGGGGCGCGGATCTCCTCTGCATCCCGCGCCAGCTGGTGCGCATGCATGAGTGGGCCAGAGCGACTGCGGCCCTCGTATGGAAACGCCTCCTCCGAGCCCATACAGATTCTATCGCTCAGACCCGTCGTCCCAGATGCCCGAGAGGAAGGAGACCAAAGAGAGGAGCAGGCGGAGAGTGAGTGAGCTGAGCCAGACCCTGTTTTCCTCCCCCCACTCCCTCGGCACCTCCAGCAGTAGATGGCATTCTAGGCTGCGCAACGAGGCAATCAGCAAGCATGCGGGGTCCCTGGCCATCAAACGGTGGCTCAGTATTTGTGTCCGAGGGGCCAGGGGCCCCCATGTGATCCAGATAGGTAATCGATCTGTGCACCCTTCTCACTCCATGGAATATGCTGAGCACTGTTCCACATGGTGGTGCACGGTATGTGGCCGTAGAGATAAAGCAACAGACGGGGGGAGCGTGAAAGGGCTCTGCAACCCCTACGGCCCACCCACTTCGAATGGGAAGTGCGTTATTTCGCGCGTTTCCAAAGGCAAAGACCTCCCACATGAGTGCCCTCGGCTCCCAGGGTCTCTCTTTTCCCTGGGACCTCGAGTTTTTGGTCCCGCCGCGCCAGGGCGCTTCGCTTCGGATCCCGAGGCGGCGCTCGTCTCTTGGGCGAAACTCGACTTCGTCGTCGCCGAATTCTCCCGAATTCTCCCCCTCCCCCTCCCCCTCCCCCTCCCTCCTTCTCTCTTCCTTCCTCCTCTTCTCTCCTCCCTGCCCCACTTCTCCCCCGTCCCCAGGGGGGCGACGAAGGGGGGCGAATCTATCCCAGGGCGGGGGGAGTTGTCGCCGTTTGGGGCATCCGGGGCCCCTCTCCGGGCCCCCCGGAGCATCGAGAAACGACTCGGGAGGAAAAGCGGGCGCAGGGGAAGGCGTCGGGAGTCGGGAGTTCCAAGGGACCTCGTATGGAAAATGATTTTGGCGAAGGACCCAACCATATGCAGTTATGGGGACCGCAGTTGTGCATATTTTCTTCGGTGGATTTCCCCATGGGGCCACGGAGCGCTGCACTGGGTGTGGGGGAACGCATGCGGGCGGTAGCACTGGGGCAGTCGGTGGGCTCCCTATGGGGCCACGAAGCGCTGTACTGGGTGGGTGAAACGCAGGGAGGAGGGAGGAGGGGGCCACGAAACGCTGTATTGTGTGTGTGTGGGGGGGACGCATGCGGACGGTAGCACTGGGACCTTCGGTGGGGCTCCTATGGGACCACGAAACGTTGCGTTGGTTGGGTGAAACGCAGGGAGGAGGGAGGAGGACACGAAACGCTGTACTGGGTGTGGTGGACGCATGCGGACGGTAGCACTGGGACCTTCGGTGGGGCTCCCTATGGGGCCACGAAGAGCTGCACTGGGTGGGTGAAAGGCAGGGAGGAGGGATGAGGGGGAGCAGGGGAGGAGGAGAGGAGAGGAGAGGAGAGGAACGTGGGGCACCGTCTCTTCAAAATGACGACCCGACACCACAGGACGGCTCGGAAAAATTCTAGACGCTTCGCGTATCCCCGCCAGCCCATCCAGAAACGACGCCCAGGCGAGTAGAGGGTCGTCCTGAGGGGCTTTTCGGCGTCTTGGGTGCCTCGGGGGGGCCTCTTTGGGCCGTTTGGGATCCTCTTGGGGGCCTCCTGGGGGCCTCTTGGGGCCTCTTGGGGCCATCTTGGGGCCCCTTGGTGCCTCCTGGGCGCTTCTTGGGGCCATCTTGGAGGACATCGATCAAAGAAGAGGGGAGCTTCAATTAGGGTTGCCCCCATCAGGATGCCAAAATGGGGCCAAAACCTTAGTAAAATCCATGATTTTGGCTTCCTCGCCGAGGCCGTTTTGGACGCGCTCTGACCGCTCGCAGCCCCCCCCGTCCAGGTCCACGGGGAGGGGGTAGAGGGAGGGGTAAACCCCTCCCCGAAGGGGAAGAGGGAGGGGTGGAAGAGGAAACGCCCTAAACCACCGACGCCCAGAGGGCTGGTGGGATTCGGGCCGCCAGGGTCCAAAAGGGTCCAAGGGACAGGGCCCAGGGGAAGGGGCCAGGGGACCAGGGGCTCGGGAGCCCAGGGCCCAAAAGGCAAAGGGCCCAGGGGACCTCGTGCTGACCCAACCTAGGGCGCCGCACCTCTGGGCGCGGGCCGGACGACCGGGATCAACCGCTCCAGAGAGCCCCGCTCCTGGGAGAGGGGGGGTGTACGGAGTCTCTTGCATGCACTTGATTCCGGCCCCACCGCCGGGCGCCTCCCGGCGCCGGGAGGCGTCGGGAAACCCAGCATCGTAGTCGGCGTCGTCGATGGCCTCATCGTCGTCGTCGTCGTCGTCGTAGTCGTCGTCGTGGTCGTGGTCCTGGTGGTCGTCGTGGTCGTCGTGGTCGTCGTGGTCGTCGTCGTCGTCGTTGTGGTCGTCGTGTGTCGTCGTCGTCGTCGTCGACGTCGTCGTCGTCGTCGTTGTCATCGTCGCCGTCGTCGTCGTGGTCGTCGTGTGTCGTCGTGTGTCGTCGTGTGTCGTCGTGTGTCGTCGTGTGTCGTCGTGTGTCGTCGTGTGTCGTCGTGTGTCGTCGTGTGTCGTCGTGTGTCGTCGTCGTCGTCGTTATCGTCGTCATCGTCGTCGTGGTCGTCCTGTGTCGTCGTGGTTCATCGTGTGTCGTCGTGTGCCGTCGTGTGTCGTCGTGTGTCGTCGTGTGTCGTCGTGTGTCGTGTGTCGTCGTCGTCGTCGTCGTCGTCGTGGTCGTGGTCGTGGTCCTGGTGGTCGTCGTGGTCGTCGTGGTCGTCGTCGTTGTGGTCGTCGTGTGTCGTCGTCGTTGTCGTCGTCGTCGTCATCGTCGTCGTCATCGTCGTGGTTGTCGTGTGTCGTCGTGTGTCGTCGTGTGTCGTCGTGTGTCGTCGTGTGTCGTCGTTTGTCGTCGTCGTCATCGTCGTCGTGGTCGTCGTCGTCGTGTGCGTCGTGTTTCGTGTGTCGTCGTGTGTCGTCGTGTGTCGTCGTGGTCGTCGTCGTCGTCGTCGTGGTCGTGGTCCTGGTGGTCGTCGTCGTCGTCGTGGTCGTCGTCGTCGTTGTGGTCGTCGTGTGTCGTGTGTCGTCGTGTGTCGTCGTCGTCGTCGTCGTAGTCGTCGTCGTGGTCGTGGTCCTGGTGGTCGTCGTGGTCGTCGTGGTCGTCGTCGTCGTCGTCGTCGTTGTGGTCGTCGTGCTTCGTCGTCGTCGTCGACGTCGTCGTCGTCGTCGTCATCGTCGCCGTCGTCGTCGTGGTCGTCGTGTGTCGTCGTGTGTCGTCGTGTCGTCGTGTGTCGTCGTGTGTCGTCGTGTCGTCGTCGTGTGTCGTCGTGTGTCGTCGTGTGTCGTCGTGTCGTCGTGTGTCGTCGTGTGTCGTCGTGTGTCGTCGTCGTCGTCGTCATCGTCGTGGTCGTGTCGTCGTGTGTCGTCGTGGTTCATGTCGTTGTCGACGTGTGTCCGTCGTGTGTCGTCGTGTGTCGTCGTTGTGTCGTTCGTGTGTCGTGTGTCGTCGTCGTCGTCGTCGTCGTGTCGTGGTGTGTCCTGGTGGTCGTCGTGGGCGCGTGGTCGTCGTCGTCGTCGTCGTCGTCGTGTCCCGTCGTCGTGGTCGTCGTCGGTCGTCGTCGTCATCGTCGTCGTCATCGTCGTCGTGGCGTAGTGTCTCTGTGTCGTCGTGTGTCGTCGTGTCGTCGTGTGTCGTCGTGTGTCGTCGTGTGTCGT